CTCTCTCTGTAAACTCAGCCTGAATTTGCAAATAGTTTTGTCTCTCCCATTTTGCCTCTTCAGCTCCCCGAATACTTTACTGGAGAGTCTCACCCAGCTGTAATGAGCTGCCATTCAAAATGCTCTTTTGACATGTTTCTGACTTTTCACTTTTCAGGGTTTGCTCGACGTCGCCATTGCAGCAGCTCTGTGAGTGATAAGGATGTTAAACAGCAACGACTAGGTATGTAGATTTTCCAGAAGCAGAGCGGTGGTGTGATTTCCTCTGAGGAAGGACCCATTTCTTCTCTGCAGAAACACCCGAGAAATCAACCTCCCCCATTGAGGGAAACTTTTGTTTAGTAGCTGCATAAACTCTTAATGCAACAGCTTATAAAATATACAGCCAACAGGACCTGGCAAATAACAAGAAACATCCATTTCCATTTCAGAGAGGTATTAAATCTGCCTGAGGAGAAGGGATGCAGATGGCATAGGCTGAGAACTCCCTTAAAGTGTGATATGCTGGTGAAGCATTCCTTCGTAGGTCATCCCTGTATTTGCTTGCTTTTCTTTTAACCAAATCAGGAGGCATACTGACAATTTTAAACGTACTCAAGGCTCCACAGTTTCTCTAGCACATTAAAAACCCATGTGATTTCAGCTCGCTGTAAAGTAGAGAAGTAACTGAGTAGGTGAGCGATGACAGTGTCGAGCCAGAGTAATTCCAGGAAAGACTGAAAGCCTAGCAGTCCTGCGGGCTGTGTAACGCCAGGGTCCACATCCTTTCTTTCATCATCTGCCCTTCTTTACCCTCTTCTATCTCTGCTTTTAGCCTTGCAATCCCCACAGTCCGGCACTGCCCAGTGTCTGGTGGGGGAACACAGGGAGCGTGGCAAAGCTGGCAGCTGCAGCTGGGCTGGACCCAGTTTTTGACTGCAAGTTCACCTACAGGAAAGTTCTTGAGAGGGTGCTCCCAGGAGGCCAGATCTTGTCCATTGACAAAACTCAGCAAATTTAACAGCAGTGAGGATAGGGTTTTTCAGAAGGTGCTCTGCACCCTTGGTTATCACCCCTGTGCGCTCTTCAACAAAGAGATGCTGATACCGTCGGGGATCTCAAATTCTCAAAGCAAAAGCTATGTCTGTTCCGAGGTGCAGAGGGCTGAGCAAGCGTGGCACAAGGGCAGCAGGGGTGAACAGGGAGCTAATGAACAGGGAATTATATGCATAATGTACCAATACCTAATTCTCTTCTTAAAGAGATAATAGGATTTAGTTTTTATATACAGCTATTTCACCTTTTCCCTGAATTTTCTTCTTCAGCCCCTGTGCAAAAATAGGAAAAATCATGGGTTATTTTCATGTGTTCAAAATTTGCCATCTCTACCTAGCTCTGCGGAGCAACCTCAGATCAGGGCTGTTGTTTCTCTGTATAAGTGGTTGGTAGTATTTTGGATCTGTCATGGCTCAGAACTAACTCTTGCTCACTCTATTGTCTCCTGTCTCAGATTCATCTGAAAGGTACCGGCATCTCCTCATCGAGTCTATCCGCCAGAGATATGGAAGCAGGAGAGCAGCAGGAGCAGCAGCACAGGAACAAACACAGCCACTGGCTTTCAACCAAGCCTTTGTCAACCTTGTCATTCGTCAGAGCAAAGCCTCCCGCTTAAAAGAGAGAACAGATAAACCCCGAGAGGATGTGGCTGGTGCTCCTGAACCAGAAGAATGTGTGGATACAGCCATGAAAGTGTCAGATCTGTTTTGTAGTGTGGTCCCATCAGGCGCAACGAAGGTGATCTTTTTGTTTGGTAAACCAGGTACAGGTAAGACCATGCTAATGCACAGGATTTGTCAGAAATGGGCAGAAGGTGTCCTCCCTCAGTTTCTGTTCACTGTCCTGTTTGAGTTTTGACAGCTGAATTTATTAAAAAGAAAATTGACTCTGAAGGAGCTTTTGTTTGACCTGTTCCTTCATCCAGAAGACAGCCCTGATGCAGTGTTCCAGTACCTCCTGGAAAATGCCTGGCGTACACTGATCATCTTTGATGGGCTGGATGAGTTTGCAGCTGACATGCAAGTGGCATCCTCTTCTAAGGGAGGCCCGGCTCTTACCTCCCGTATGTCCATATCTGAGCTCTTTGCAGACCTCTGTCATGGGAAGCTCCTGCCTGGTTGCACAGTGTTGGTCACCAGCCGACCTAAGAGACTGCCTGACTTCTTATTAAACACAGTAGATCTGCTAGCAGAAATTTGGGGATTTGACCATGAGAAGGTTGAGGAATATGTCAGCCACTATTTTCATCAGCATTCGTTCAAAGAACAAGCCATTGCTCACCTGAAGAACAACATCAAGCTCCTCAGCATGTGTTTCATCCCTGCTCTGTGTTATGTTGTGTGCATCTGTTTGGAGTACTTGCTCCTTAAACATCAGACGAGTGTGGAGCTTCCTCAGACTATCACACAGTTTTATATCAAAATGCTTCTCATCTTCATAAACAAACAACAGGGAGAGCATGCAGATGGTGAGGAGACTCAGCTGAACTGTAACAAGAAGGCCATTTTGGGTCTGTGTGATCTTGCACTGAAAGGCCTGGAAGATAAGAAGCTTGTATTTTATGTTGGTGATATTCCAGAGCATGTGAAGGAATTTGCTTCCTTACATGGACTGCTGACTATCTTTGAGGTGAAGACGAGTGGCACTTGCCCTGAGGCTGGCTATGCCTTTGTGCACTTGAGCTTGCAGGAATTTTTTGCAGCATTGTGTCTCATGGTAAGTAAGAGGGTGGACAAGAACCTCCTGAAGAAGAAGTTCTCTTTGAAGTCAAAGTGGATTCTAA